ACCATGGATGAACTGATTTAGAGAGACTGAAGACCCCGTTTCTGCATGGATGGACTCATGTTATCAATAAAAACAACTTTTAAAAAAACAACGAGGAGTCTGGTGGCAATTTACAGACTAATAAAAATATATATAGTATCTTGAGCTTGAAGAAGTGGGTTGTGCACATGAAAGCTCACAATACTATATATATATTTGTTAGTCTCTAAGGCTATGTGTAGATAGACACACTATTTTGGGATCCTGGAAGTATCTTTAAACACACCTGTTATTTCGAAATAGATTTCGAAATAACGGGCGAGCTATTCCAGTGTTCCTTAAGCCCTCCCCCTTAAACCCTCCTTCCACAAGGGTTAAGGGACGTTTTGAAATAGCACTTTATTTCAAAATTAGATTAAATAAGATACACAATTTGCGTATTTCAGATTGCATATCTGATTTCAACCTATGGGTGCAGTGTTGATGCACCCTACGGTGCCATAGGACTACTATTATGTTTTTTAATTGTTTTTAAAGTTACAGACTAACATGGCTACCCCTCTGTCACATTACTAGTGTAAACGGACTTATGCCTTTCTGTGGACTAATTGTGAACACAGTCTTATGTTAACCTTTTTTCCTATGTCTAGAACTGTGGGGTCCTGATCCATGTCTGATGTTTATAGGCACTAAAGCAGGGCAAACAAACAGTAACTAAGGGTTGCCAGCACCTGCTCTGTGAGGCTGAAGGCAGAACTCTTTCTTTCCATCCCACTGAACCCATAACAACCATTTCTCAGTGTGAGTCTGAGCAATTGCCCTGGGGTCCACGCCGAGCATAGACAGAGTAGAGAGTCTTTCTTGTTTGCAAGCAAGCTCCTGGCTCACCCCCTCCTCCCAGTCATGGAGGTGAGCTCCCGCAGAGGGTTCAATAAAAAAACCCAGGCCTGCTATAAAGGAGAGAGCACAGAGAGGGAAAAGGAGGCAGAAAAGCCAGGGCTAGTAAGATAATGACCTCCAAGAAAGCAGCCAAGAGACTTCACACTCTACAACGAAGGGCTGCTAGACTCGTGTGGAGGCCTGATTGAGAACCTCAGGAGAGTCAATTAAGACCCTCTAGTTCCCTTCAGGGGTAGGAACCTTTTTTTGGTCAGGGCCCCTGACCCACAGAAAAATCAGTTGGAGGCCACAAGTGAGAAACAAACAAACAAAAAGCCCTCAGTGACGTGGCCCCTGACTGAGAAGGAGAAAAACACTCCTCACATTCCCCTCCCACACCAGAGCTTAAGAGGGCCCAGGCTAGTAGATTTTGTGCAGCCCAGCCCTGTGGGGGAGGGGCTGGAGCACCAGCATAGGCTCCCCAAAGCTGGGGGGGCCCTGAGCCTTAGGGACTGGGCGCTGCATCCAGCCCCCGGGCTTTAGGTTCCCCACCCCTGCACTAAAAAAACCAACAAATGGTCTGGTAGCACTCTATAGACTAACAAAATATGTAGATGGTATCATGAGCTTTCGTGGGCACAGCCCACTTCTTCAGATGACCAGAGTTATGAGTAGGGGATATGAAAACTCTAAATAAATGGGAGAGGGGAATGGGACAGAGGAGAGAAAGAAAAAAGGAAGGGTGGGTGGGAGACAGAGCATCTTTAAGTATCTGGAGAATGGGTACTTAAACCTAAGTAGATAAAAATCAAAGTCAACAGATAGATTGCTAAGACAGACAGCAGCAGCAATTCAGTGTCCTTCAGCCCTGCCTCATCCAGAGCTAATGTGGAGCTTATGAATCTGGGATGTAGTTGTAGGGCCAACCCCTCTGCAGTGGTTAAACCTGTTCATTTAAAGCCCAGTTCCCAGGAAATGTAAACTCTCAAATGTTTTTTGCCACAGAGATTTGGGGGGAGGAGAAATCCAAGAGATGCTCAGAAAGGAACAATTTCATAGTTCATGTAAAAAGGAAACATGTTGCCAGGATGCACCCCCCGGCAGCCCATAATGCTGATCAGCAACAGAGTGCCAAGGGGTCGGGGAAGCTCCTGGTTCTGGGATGTACATTCTATGTTCAGCAAAGAATTTCACATGAGCTGAATGATTTGCTGATCATCAATATCATTAAAAAATAAGTAGTCCCTTGGCACCTTAGGGTACATCTACCCTGCACCATAACTTGAAATAAGATACGCAATTTGTGCTATGCAAATTGTGTATTTTATTTCTAAGCTATTTCAAAATAGCTTATTTCATCATTTGATGCTGTCTACACAGTGCCAGATTTTGAAATAAAGCGCTATTCCAAAACGTCCCTTACACCTTGTGGAAGGAGGTTTATGGGGACATCGGAATAGTGAGCCCACAATAATGGTCTTGCTGTGAGACACAGGCTAGCTATTTCGGGATACTTTGGCATCCCAAAATAGCATAGCAGTGTAGAGGTAGCCTAAGGGCACATCTACACAGCACCCTAAACTCAAAGTAAGATACACAATTTGAACTACGCAAATTGCATATCTTGAATCTATTTTGAAATAGCTTACTTTGAAATTTGGTGTGTGTACACAGAGCCAAATTTTGAAATAACATGCTATTTCGAGGGCTCCCTTAATCCTCGTGGAACAAGGGTTACTGGATTGCCAAAATAATGTACCCGTTATTTCAAAAAATATTTTGAAATAACAGGCAGTTTGTGTAGACACGGGGTAGCTATTTCGGAATACCTCTGGTATCCCAAAATAGGCATGCAGTGTAGACATACCCTTAGGCTGTGTCCAGACTCCATGCCTCCGTCGACGGAGGCATGTAGATTAGCCAGCTCGGAAGAGGGAAATGAAGCCGCGATTAAAATAATCGCGGCTTCATTTAAATTTAAATGGCTGCCCCGATCTGCCGATCAGCTGTTTGTCGGCAGATCGGGAGAGTCTGGACGCGATGCCCCGACAAAGAAGCCTTTCTTCATCGACACAGGTAAGCCTCGTGAAACCAGGCTTACCTGTGTCGATGAAGAAAGGC